TAGCCGCCGCCCGATCTAAAGGGTACAGCCACATCCATCCATCCATCCATCCACCAGTGCTGGTTTATCACAGTTGTACGGAATTATCGATTCATCGAGAAAGCAGAGAGAGAGAGAGAAAAAAAAACACCAGGCCTGCATAGAACGTGCAAAACAGTCACAGCAAAATCTGGAGCAGTGGCCTTTCTAGAATTCTTGCTAAACTCTCTTGTGGCGACTACTGAAGGTAGAGTTGCTGCAAGATGTTTCGCACTTCTCAAGTACAGTTGCAAGGTGCTCACTGTGCCATAAATCGTCAATGTTCTGAGAAGTCTGGAAGCACCCGCCTATGGTACTATTGATAATTCTACACAGAAAAAAAAGTTTGAGCTACACGTCTGAAACGGATTACGTGCACATTACTGACACTGTCACTGATAACGATGAATTATGGCTGCATCCTTTGTAATAAGTGGGAAACTTGAAACTACCTACCACTTAATGCATTTGCATTGTGTGGCACCTGGTGTTACCTCGCTCCTCGACCACACTATATTACATCTGTTAGTGTGATTCCTTGCCTCGCACGACACCTGTATAGAGTCTTTTTGGGATGGAGTTTTAAGCACTGGCATGGCTCCGTGCCTCTGTGCTAGAACAGTCGAATGCCATGCAAAGTGATTCTATACAAACAGGCTCACTGTTGGATTCGTTGCCTGCTGATAGTATATTTATGATGTGCAAGAACATCCTTAACAGAGCATTGTGGAAAGGTAGCCTGTTCTGCTAGTGGCCCACCAAGCCATCAACATGAACTCTATTTTGCTGCAATTTCACTTTTACTTTGCACACTGCTAGGCTGGCTTTTGTGCATTGTTTAACTATCAGAGGTAGCAAACACTGTATTCTTAGCAGTAGAGTGAAACTGAGCCCTTCGGTCAATTCCCTTTTTACAATTACAGCTACAATAGCCTCATAAAGGGCGACAACAGAATAGATAACTTATCTGTACCAAACGCAACAAAAGAATGCTAAAGATACACACACACAAATTTAATTATTGATTATTAATTGACAAAGTAACTAGAAGTGCACATTTTTTCATATTTATTTTGGTTTATTTTTCATTAAGCAATTTTGTGGTTAGTAGGAATTTCGTTTGCTTTTTCATGTAATATTGTTCAAGATGCCGTGATGGCTCAAGGGCCACTCTGACATGCTTTTCGATGCTTTTCCCACATAACGAAGCTTCAAAAGAGATGATATTCATAATGCTTAACGCTCCGGCAACAGCAGCAAGCACAGGAGCGAGTTAACTGGGGGAACATGGGAGAGGCCTTTGTCCTGCAGTGGACGTAATCAGGTTGACGATGATAAGGCACGGTACTTTAACACGTACTGCCTTGCGAAGTTTGCCTGTTTAGATCTTTGCATCGACAAGGAGTGTCAGTGTTGTGATACCGACTTCTCACGAATGTGCCAGCAGTGTCTCCGGCCCTGCTTAGACATGTCTATACGGATAAATCATTCCGCTCACTGACCTGCAACATGGACCAGCTAATGTTGATCAAACATGCTCTTTCACGCGTACGATGCGGGCTGTCCGTTTTACAATGCGTATATCGCAATACTGTTCTGCTAGTCTAGCTTACTATGTGGCAGGCAAGCGACTAAACTGCACGAAGACTTAAAGAACCGAGGTTGAAAAGCGCTTTTCGCGCGAAAATCATTTTCAAACAAAAGCGTACTGCTGATCTTGTTGACAAAACAAGTTTGCATCAGTACTTTCTTTTTTACCCTTTACGTAACTAATGAATTTGATTAAGATTACTGTTACCTTGTTTTCGGCATCGCCACGGGTCATTCGTTGTCTGAAACCACGACGGAAGGAAAACTCAAGATAGCATTTACTGGATCCCAATGTATTGCGAAAGTGTGGCCGAAGTGATGTTCAAATTTATGAGGCAAACAAACCAGTATGGAGCAAACAAAACTGCAGATGCTCAGTGGCGTGCTCTCTACGCTAGTTTGCATCTGCGCGAAAATGTGCTCTCGGCGTAAACTTAGTGTATATTGTGCAGTCTGCATGGGGTACACAGTTACGAGTACACATTTACCAGGCTGTTTGTGCATGGCAGGCTTGAGCGCTGCATGCTAATTCTTGCTGAGCATTTTTGTGGAACAAGCACAGAAAGTACTGGTAAACTGCCGTAATCGAAAACATTTAGCCCCTGAATCATTGTATACAAACTCACGCAGCCGCGACTTACGCGTTCTACTGCGCAAAAGGCCTTTCTTCTCCTTTCTCATAGTACAATTGCCTGATCTACTAACCGACTAGCGGTCCTTTGCTCGTATATATATATATATATGGTGTGAGCGTGGCACTACACGATTTTACGAGCTGGCTTCGTAGCTATTAGTTAGTCAGCATTACTAACGCTCCCAGAATTAGAAGCACATATATGGCCATAAGATGGACCGGGGAATGAACGCCGCTCTAGGTCAGTTGGTAGAGCATCGGACGCATTATTCGAAGGTTGCTGGTTGGGTCCCTGCCCCAAGAAGTTAACTTTTTGTCCCCTTTTCTTTCTTCACATTTACATTGCAATTACTACTAAGACATCTCCTACACTTTCCTTGGCATCACTGTCTGTTAGGTCTCAGTTATTATTGTGTCTAACAAAAAAAAAACAAATTGAGCCCTTCTGTTTCCAGTATCTCGTTCAGCTTTCACTAAAACCATTTGCTGAACCGTACACAAGCAGACCATTCAACATTTCACAACGCAGCCGTAGCAACGGTGGATCCAGAGAGAGGGGGTGGGGGCAATCGCCCTTTCCTCGAACATTTTGTCAGCACGCCCTCACCATTTAGTGCTTGCCGTCCATCTCCTATCACTGATTAGGTCAAATGAATGGGATTTTTGCGAGCACAAACTAAGAATATTTATGCTAAATTGGCGCTTTTGTGCAAATAAAAATCAATAAATCAGGGCCTTCCCAAAAATGAGTTTCTCTCTCCACCCTCGAGCTGTAGGGACACTCTCTCCAGTCCTGACCCAGCCATAGCAAATTATGCTTATTTACAAGCCAAAGGTAAAGCATTACACTACAACTTGTACAACCAGCACCGTTAACACGAATGGTAGGATGCGTGGCCTCTTCTTGCTTCAACTGACGTCAGCGCCACTGAGTGCTGAACGTGGCACGTTTGTTGCAACTAACAATCAATGGAGCGCACCTCGACTTCTTTACTAAATCTTCGTTTCACTTCTGTCTGACAGGCGGGTCGAATACGTGCCCTTGGCTGGTTCATCTTCACCGCATTTGTCGTGGCTACACTCGCTTGCACCCATTAAGTTCATTGTTGTATGCTTATCTCCACAATAAATTTCTGTGTGCGATATTTGCCACACCTTTAGAGTTTGAAATCCGAGCTTCCATTCAAAACAAATGACGAGGGTGTAGCTACGACCAAAACGTGGCGAAAACAGACCAGCCAAGTGAGTGAATTCGAGCCGCCAGTCAGACAAAAGTCAAACAAAAATTGGCTAGAGAAATCGAGGCGCACTCCACCTATTATTAGTTGCAACAAACACACCACATTCAAAGCTTGGTGGTACTGACGTGAGAAAAAAGCGAGGAGAGGTCACCCGTCGGACCGTTCGTGTTAACCATGCTGACGACTGCGCCTGGGTAAACTCTCGTTCCGTACTGGTACGAAGAACCATTTCGTGAGAAAGTAACATCTGAAGCAGATGTATTGCCTATAGTGGATGTTAATTGTATCATATGCCCATATCGGCAAGTATACTAGTGTGGAACTTCGATATAAAAAAAAATCCCGCCATATCCACGACGTGAACGATGATGAGTGAGCGAAGTCACGCTCATCGCGGGGACTTCGCCTGGCACCAAAGAATCTTCGCAAGTAAAGCACACTGCGTACACTCTGTGATCTTCTTGACTGGTGGCGGCAAACTCCCGCTGTAGAACGCCGACGGCGTTGGCGCGGGATTGATAGTTTCCGATGCTGGAGGTGGCGGTGAAACTGTCACCAAACCACAAGCGGTCTGAAACCTTGCAACTGTGGCCGAAACTGCGATCAGAGAGGTCGCGCTTACAGCGCGCACCAGCGCCAACAACCTCAGGTAGAGGATAGTTATAGCGCGAGAACAAAACGACGACACAGAGACAAGAAGGACACGAAAGACACGAGCGTGTCTTTCGTGTCCCTGTCTTCTTCGTTCATATATTAAAGGTTGCACACACCAAACACGTCGCTATTTTAACTGTTCTTGACTAAGCAGTGGTCGAGGTCAAAGTCTCCCCTCACCACCATCGGAAATCGCGATCAATGTTCGAGTACTAGCGGCTGACTACGACACGACACGACAACCTTACGGAGCTTCGACCCCAAAACAGCAGCTCCGAGGTGCGATCCCGAAGCCGCCAAACCTCGCAAATGGGTGGTTGTGGACACTCGACACTCTCCGCATTACGGCTACCACACGTGCATGTTAACTTTGGACTTGCACGGGTATCTCACGCCATCATTTTTACCAATTAATTACGCGGCACTTACCTTCGATCGCCGTGAACCGTCGCAGCAGCGCCGATTTGTTTACACAGAGGTTCACACGCTTAAAATCAAGATGGCAGTGAGCGACTTAAAACACGACTTCGTTTCTAACTTTGACTTCGGCTGTTGGGAAAACAAATTGGTAAAAATAACAACGTGTTGAAGTGTTTTGCGTAAAACTAGAGTAAAATTTGTTTCCAACAATTGCTTATAGTTTTGTTTTAATGATGTTGTAGAAAAGTGAACTCCCCTTGTTGCGAAAAAAACACAAACTAAGGTTTATAACTGATTTCAAACTAACGTGAATAAAACAATAATTGATACATTTTTGCAATTAACAACGTTTTTGCAGAAATAAAAACAGTCATTATTGATAATTAAAAACTTATAGAAGTTTTTTATGCTGCTAGCGCTACCTGCATTACTCTAAAAACAAGTCGCACGATTATGTCTAACGCCACGCCGGTCCCTGCTGCCCTTGCCTAGAGGACGTGAGGACAGTTTTCCCAATTTTCGGTAAGATTTCTGCATCTGTCTTCGTGATTCTTATGATATATTCCGACTGTCCTACTTGCACAAGACACTTTAGTGAAGGGTAACGCTGCGACTAGTTTGCGCGCGGTTTCGCTTTTTGCCAGTTCGCGTAAGGCGCCGCTCTCTAGGAGAACGGAAAGTGTTATCCTTCTTTTTGCCCCCTAACTGCTGTTTATCTTTATTGTCCGTATATGTATCGCCTCCTTGCGAGTTCACAGTGGCGAAGGTTTCAGCGTGCCTTCATTCGTATAGAAATGCAGCGTAGATTGTGTGTCTGACACCGGTATCTTGAGCACATGCTTAAACGCCCTGTGATTGCTGTTCGCGTGTTCCTTGGGCAAAGGGAAAAAAATTGATATCGTACAGAGTATCGGAGCAGAACAAACTCGAATCTAAACTACCAGCACGCCACAAATGATACGTGTTTTCTCTTGGGAGCTGTTTCCCCGTAGTGCGAACGTACCGCAACCTACAGCACTCTCTGCTTGATTAATTTGTCTCGTGGTTTAGCTCTCTCATGCCCTACCAGTGTTCGTCGCTGTGGATCGGGGTAATGAGGCCGTGGGTCGAACTCTGATCACTGTTTCGTCGTTTTGGTATGAGGTTGCTTCTGCATGCTCATAACGAACGCAGCTCACAATCACTCACTCATCCAAGCTATCGTCAGAGAGTAAGAAGTATTGCTATGTCGCGCGAAAGATGCAACGCCATCGTAATATAAATGTGCATCACAAAATGGTGTTTGTCTTTTCGATCTCACTGCTGCACCTTTCATGAAATAATACAGCTGGGGAAAAAAAAAGTATGCTCCATATGTTTAGGCTTAAATGCATATTAAGCCACAGTAGGTAGCATAAAATAGCGCACAGCCTGCCGTGACGAGCCTTATAACTGGCGTTGGCAGTACATTAAAATCAATGTATTGAAAACAGAATGCTCTCATGCGCAGCCGAGTCCTGTCACACACTGTTCGTGTAATGATGTAGTGGTTTGGCAAATAAGGCTTGAGAATTTAATTTTTGGCAAAATGCTGAGCATCATTAGAGTTTTACATACCAACGCGAGCTAAAGCAGAATGGGGTGCATCTGTTTCCAGAGAACACATGTTTGAGACCTTCTCTCGGTTCTTTGCTCTTTCAGTAAGAAACTAAAGGAAGCAAAGTCCAATCCACAGCCATGTCGAGGGCCGTGGCCAACCTGACGGCGTCCATGATCAAGAACGGCAAGCCCAAGCTTGAGACCTTCATGAAGTACGCCCGCGTCGAGATGGTGCCACCATCGCCACGCGAATTTCCCGAGGTGTTCCGGGGCTTTGGCCAGCTCATTAGCTCAGCAAAGTCCGGCGCGTGGAAAAACTTTACCGTCAAGGAGGCCACGGTCAACACGCTGGTCGGAATGGAAGTCATCTTCTGGTTCTATGTCGGCGAGTGCATCGGCAAGGGAAGCATAGTCGGATACCACGTTTAGAGACCCGCTCGTGGTTTCGTCACCTTGCTGTTGGACATTACGCTAGGTGTTCAATTCACTGTGAATTCAGAATAAACATGCAAGTGAACTAGGCAAACTGCAACTGTGTGGTGGCTATGGAAAAATTTTGTGTCATTATTATTGTTGACACAGCGTTAACGAAAACCAGCAAACAATGAAGCCAAGGGACTGTCTGCTCATGGAAAAGGTTTTATGTTACGTAACACCAGCTGGCATGCAAAAAGTGTTCCACACACGCCGTCAAGGCTTTGAGTTGTACTAGCACTAAGCAGGGTTTGCATAGCCATAAATACCCCACAGAGCGAATGAATGCTGCCGTAGCTTAATTGGTAAACCGAACATATGAAAGTATGACTTAACCAAATGCAAGACATATCAACATGCCCAAAACGCTACGCTACAAAGACGGCATACTGCCTGTCCCTTCTGGTCCCTGCCAGCGGCATGTTGTTCTTTTTGTTCACTTTACTATTTTCATATTTAGTACATCACAGTTACGGCAATACCCCTGTACTTTCTTTAGCTTTATTATCAGCTGGTTTTCATAAACGTTGGATCAAAGAAATGAGCCCTTAAAATTTTCACCAATCTACCAATGTGGTTTAGACATGCATTCTGCTATTCACTAATGGTTCCAATATTGATTTTCGACTCTGTTTATTGTGCTATATTTCATTTTTACAGAGACTGCTCTGAACTAGTGCGAAACCCAGTAAATGTTGATAAGATATATCTACATATTCAATCTTCGTGTTGTGCACCTAGTAATGTCGACATTATAGTTGATTACAACCAAAGGATAAATAGCACCGCCACTGCTGTCATACCCACAGACGACTTGCACAGACGTTCTGTCCAATCGCATTCGCTTCTTTCTGCGACGTAGAGCACTATATGCATGTTTTAGATGGTTCACAGACACATGTTCGGGTCACTGGTACTAAATTCCAAACTTGGAACCTCCTGGCAAATTTCATGTAAGGCTTGGACTTCATTATTTAGCCAAAGGTCACAATTTAGGTGGGAGCGATGAACCTTTAGTTTTCGATGTGCGAGGTATCTACATTAGCCCAGAAGGAAATTCGCGGCATACCCACGGGGTAAATGATGACAAGTCGGCGAAGCTCCGGAGAGAATCACCGGTAAAACCGTGAATCATGTCTGTAATTTGCCCAATCGTTGATGATCTAAAGACATCATGAGAAACACTACGTGTGAATATATAGAAATCAACTTTTATTTGTTCTAAGAGATGATAAATGGCTTGCGATTTCTCTTCATTAAGATGGATTTATGGTCCGTAAAATGAAAGGTGAGCGGTTCCTGTATAGGTTGCAGGGGAAAATTTGCAAATACTAGGTCAATGCATGTTCCTCGGATCGTGGTTGGTTTCATATGGTCATACGATATACATCTGAGTGCATATCTAGAAGCCACACATTGGGTAAGCCAATTATCGGTCGTGTCTGCAATATCAACGTTGAAATCACCGAGTATGAACAATGCATTCTTGTACTATGTTCAAATTTTATCACATACAAGCATCACCAACTGTAAGTACCGCCATCTAGTTCCACATACAGCCATCAGTGGCACATACCTGCTCTATAGGGGCTATGTTCAACTGGTGGCTACGTACATAGCAACAACGAACCCCATAAGATGTACAGACCTATGCCCTAAGAAGCTTCGCCCCTAAAAGCAGTGATAGTTTAAGGGAAAACCAGGTTGTACGACTCTTACTAAAATGATTGCAAAGTGCGTTATAGTTGTGGGTATTCCTTAATTATTACAGTACAGCGTAAGGCCAGGATACCGTATAAATTATGGTGATTTCAAGAACTAGTATGGCTTGTCACAGTGATTTCAGGTACCGAAGCCACCCAAAATGCCACTTGTGCATCACGAATGGAGAAGCCATTGAGATATAACTTGAGCGAACATGTGATAAGAAGCCCATGTCATGTCAAACCAGGGTGCAGTAGGAACCTAACCTATAACTAGCTAACTGAAAATTTTCGTGTCATTACCATTGTAAGGGGCACAACTACTTCATTGGAGTACAGTAGTACTGGTGTCTCACAGTCCATTCTTTTCACCGTTACAGAGGAGAGAAAAGGTTCCGTCTTGCGGGGCTGCACGCTTGAATATAGAGGCTCACGTGATGGCCATGGCAGTGCATATTTTGGGAGTCACATGTATTTACCTCAGTCCAGAAAGATTTATGGCGGCACCCTGGGAGTCGCCTGTGGAAAGATTTATAGCAAAGTACTTTAATTGCCTATTTTCATTTATGTACATAGAGATTAGTTAGTCACAATTATGAGTCCAGTTAACTAGTTTTTAGTAACTTTACTGAAATCTCTTGTGAATAGAGGAACAAAGAAGCATTCACACTGGAGTTCTGAAATCTACGATGCAAAGATGACAATGGGTTGGACAACGGAGACTCAGTGACACGTGTACATGATTGATTGATTGATATGTGGGGTTTAACGTCCCAAAACCACCATATGATTATGAGAGACGCCGTAGTGGAGGGCTCCGGAAATTTCGACCACCTGGGGTTCTTTAACGTGCACCCAAATCTGAGCACACGGGCCTACAACATTTCCGCCGCTATCAGAAATGCAGCCTGGGATTTGATCCCGCGACCGACACATGCACATCCCCACTGCTTCCTTATCTTCTCTCTATTCACGGAATACCTGTTCCTTCTTCACTTGTACAGTTCATCGCAGCACCCTGCACTCTCACTACCGTGTATGCAATGTCCGCCCCTCCCCATCCTTTGTTACGATGGAGGAGAGGATGGGAACATGGGAAGAACTGCATTACTGGCATTTTGTTGGCTATTCATGCCATTAAAACTGAACGGGGGAAAGTGAACATTGTACTCTCTACATCACAGTCACCCCCGAAATAGCTCTCATGTTTTTTCACAAAACCCATTGAGCCAGCAGCGCAGGTCCCTTGGATCATTAACAGAACAATAGAAGCACCTCCCATGATGTTAACTTATTTTGATGTGTTGAAGCAAGCACATATAGCTACAGGCCCCAGCATAACAGCGAACAGACTTCGTAGACGCCCATGTTCGAGGCGGGGCTTTCTTTCTCTTTGGATTTTTTCTAGAAAATTGAACCACCATACATGTTGCCCGATTGCCAATACCATATGAAATGGTGATATCATAATTAGCAATAAGAAATCCTAGGGTCCCTCTTGCAATAGGATTTGTAGCCAGCATTGGGGGGGGGGGGTGCAATGTCAGCCCTCTATATTGAGTAACAGGCAAGGAGCATTGCAACTCAGGTGGGGGGGGGCACAAAGCAAGCCCCATTCATTGACTTTGCCCCCCCATGAATGAATGGGAACCCTACGCACGCCTATGGTAGCCAGCATGGTAATCGCAGGCTGCACAGCCTTGATGTCTTTATTACTTTATTATCACGGAACACAATGAATGACCCCAGAAATACAAACTCCTCTTTCCAGCATATACGACTGATCTTGTGCTAGATTTGAAATTTTTTCCTCACTTGCTGCTGCTGAGAGAAACAAGTCTACAAAATGGCAGTGAGGTCAGCATGAACTTTATTGCTGTACTGCATGCAATGTATGCGGGGTGCAAGCAATGGAAGGAAAAATTAAAATTACGTTCTGTGGTGTATTCGCAGGAACCACAGTCTGGCTATAAGAGGTTGTTTTAGTGGAGAGTTTTAGATAAATTTTGACGAGTTAAGCGCCTTGGCGTGAGCGTTCATTTTACTGTTTTGCTTCTCTAACTTGTGTTGCTGCAAATTGAGCTTTGGCAATGCCACACCAGGTCTGCTTGGCTACTTTGGCAGGTAGTAAATGGCAGTCTTGTAGCTTTTGTGCGGTCACGGCATCAAGGACACTGATACTACAAACAGTTAATGTTCGTCAGAAGACGCCAATCCAGCTTTGCATGGTAGACATTCTCGGCATGTAAACCGCGCTGAAGTCATTTTATTCATGAAAAATGTCGATTTGTCGTCCTTACATTATGATGTTCAGCAGTTGTATCCATAGCAGGAATATCACCTGACAGAAAATGTTAAAGTGTAGCTTGAATAACACCAGGTGTTCTAACAGCAGAGCTGTGCTAAGGCTGGGCCTGACGACAGGCAAGTGTACAGGACTCCGGGTCACATGTAACACTTCGATTGCCAGATACACCCATAGATGGCATAACTACCATGATTGTGAAAGGGGCAGTAGCCACATGGTGAAACGGTACAGGCTCAGCTTGAGTGTGAGTATGGCCTAAAGGCGCTTTAGCAGGGGCAAGTGTGGCAGGTGCTGCCACTCATCCTTTGTCTTGAATCTTTGATTTACGAATCCCAAGACAACAGAAAATCACTGGAAAAAACACAAGAGAACTGCAGCTCCACTGTTTCTGCAGATTGTCTCTCAGTTCCATGCTGGGTGGTACTGGGGTAATTTTTTTATGACATCTTTGTGGGCTTCTTACGCACATTCTGTAATGGGGCATATGTAAGCACTGAGAATAATGGAAGCATTGTGGTCATAGACTAGACTATCAAGCCTTTTATGTCCTGTTGCAATGCATTAGGCATTTCTACTTTCCATTGGTCATTAAGCTATGGAATAACCTCCCACGTGGTATAGTGTCACCAGAATCTGCTCACTCAGTTTGCCGCCGATCTTGAAACATATTTTGATCAGTAATGATGTCGTACACAATAGTCGCAGCTGTTCACAAAATGTACGTGTTTGATTCTACGCCATCCGCAGTTTTCATTTGTAGAGTTATGTCTAATGTGTGCTCTTCCCCGTTAGTCTTTGCTGCATGTTTTTTTTCTTATTTATGGCAATATGAAGTCCTATCCAATAGTGTGCTGTCTTCTTCTCATTTTTACCATTTGTTAAATTACTAATTTTGTTCTTCGGTAGATGTGTAGATATGTAGTGACCTATCTGTATCCTTTATTAGACCCACCCCTGAAAGAGCCTGTTAAGGTTTATAAAACAAGTAAATAATAATGATATTTTAATGTGAAAAACATTGCCAAAAGACCTGGACAGATGCGAAACAAGAAGATGTTTTATTTTACAACAGAATCACTTTATACACTGCGTGCACATCAACAAAAAAAAATCTGTCATATCTGGGGGGGGTGGGGGCAGGGGGTATTTCACCTTCAAGACAGGAGGCAGTAGACAGGACAACCAAGTTGGCACGGGGCCTTGCTTCTTACGAAGCGTACTTTCGCACAACGATATTATCTCTCTGTGCAAGCCACTCTGAGATGAAAGCAAACATCGCAAACAAGTATGCACCACATGGGAAGCAGTAGTAGCTCTGTGCGGTCGATGGTTCAGCACCCCTCTTTTGAGGGGACCCCTCACCGGTCCTCATGGCAAAGCTTTTGAAACAGTTACGTATGCAATTATAAGTTTGCATGATCCCCTTACAGTTGTACAGAGCATATGCAGATTTGATATAAACTTCATCACATTTCCGTAACAATTATACGAACAACACATGGTCAATTTTTGCAACAATCATGTATACAAATAACATTGGAATGCTTATGGTACACCTTGTTAAGATGGCCACACAGTGAAAGTTACAAAGTGCTGCCCAGTTAATGCGCAGTCAAAATAATTTGCCAAATTTTTTTATTACTGAACAAGATGGGAGAAATCGAGCCTGTCCCGTTGCCATGCCTTGAGGAGGTTGCCTTCACTGAAAGAGGCGACCATTGCTCAATTTGTCTTTCAGCGATTTCAGCTTTTCAGCGATTTCCAGGGGCAAGAGAATGCATACCATTCTCATTACAGTTTATGCCTTCCTTCTCTCTATTTTGCTTTGTATTGTATTTGAAGTGGCGGTATCGCACAATCTCCATTCGATGGGTGACAAAAGCCATGTGCGATCTCATGGTGTGTAATTGCTTGTGAAGCGCTGTTCTCTTGAAGTGGCTCTCATCTTCTGAAGCCCTGAGCCCAGGAAACTAATCAAAACAGGCTCTTCGCTGATGTACGTTCTATTTGTATAGCACGAAATAGAAACACGAGCCAAAAGCGGTGAACGATAGCGTTTGTGTTCGTTTTCTTTTCAAGATACCCGTATCAGTCACTTCACCAACAACTACTTGGCCCAATATCCTAAGGCTGTCGTCATTCTGAATAAGTAGATGTTTGCTCCCAGGCTCTCCGAGTGTTCAACGATAGTCGACCCAGCACACGTGTATGACGTCAGCGTAAATCAAATCACTTTCAACAACACATGGTCACTTGCCGAGGCAGCCTTCTAATTGTATTCACAATAAGTATAAGCCTTACAGCGAGATCATGTCGAGTCATCGTTCTATATGTACATTATCGTGCCGGTTCTGATATGCAGCGAAGGAATGCGCGTGATAACGAAGCAAAGGCGTAGAGGAATGAGGAATGGTTTGGGAAAGCGGGTGATGGCATGATAGAAGTTCTGAATAAATAAAACTTGGATGGCACGATAGGGGGCGGTGTGCTGGCCTCCCCCAAAGACTATCGGCTGAAGCTGCTCGACTAGATAACTGGCCAAAAGCGGTTTACACACGCTTCCTGTCCACGGGATAAAAAGACCATTTTTCCGATTTGACGCAGTCATGTGCCAGAAGCAGTGACGATATGCAGAAGAGTCCTTAAACGCTTGATGTAAAGAGCAGCCACAAGGAATGTGGAAAGCAATACAAAATATCAAATCAAATTTTGCACAGCTCATGTCATTTTTTCAGCCTGATGGCATGGTCGATGGCATTGTACTAATGAGCCTTAAATAACATGGGATGCATACAGTAGAGCAAAATGATAAACTGCGACGACTCGCTGATGGAAGCCTAGTTGTAGATGGTAACTGACATACAGTGTAAACAAACTAATAATGAACTTGTGGGATTACTCACTCATGAACATGGGCTGGAATACACATGGTATGGGTAAGCGTGACCAATGTGTGAACATAAGTATGTATCGGCATTACAGAAACCGAAGGGCAGCATTTTTTGCACCCTGTGGTGGCCACAAAGTTGAAGAACGTTCTGCTCTTGGAACGCCAAGAGCATCCTGAAGATTTTCGTTGTATTTGGTGTCTCAACATATTAAGATATTTTGCAATGAAAACAAAAGAACTTTATTATCTTTTTTAATGCCCATCATGATTATGTTTTCTCTCTTTCACCCAAATTTTCAAGTTTTGGAGAGTGAGATGGCTTCGCTAGATCAAATGATGTTTTTAGCAAAGCTACAGATCAGGTGACAAATCTGTAACTTGACCATTTCGTTAAGCACGAGCAACCCTAAAGATAATATTCTGAATGAACATGGAGAGAATTTTTTTGACGTTTCTTAGAACATATTGATGATGTCGCTCTTGACTTAAGTGTAACCTGAGGCGGCGATTGCATGGATATGGCTAGCAAACAGCATTTCAAACGTAGACATGACAGCAAATTGAATTTTGGGCAGAAGATTCCCAATTTGTGCTTCAGAACGAGTATTGTTACAATATATCTACTACTATTTGTTAGTGTACATACTTATATGTGATTTCCAGCCCATGTGTAGAACAATGAAGGACAGTGCAGTTGCTTGAAATCATGGTAACAACAGTTAAATTATGGATGATCTTGCCATATATGTATGATAATAAGTCACAATATAATGCAGTCTCATGACTTCAATAATGCCAAGGTGTATGTTATGAGATCTTACCATGAAATGCAGCTAAATTAAATTCAGCATCACTGAGGTCAACTGGGAAGAGATTGTTTTTTTTTAATCCTTCACTCCCACGTGTTCAGTGATACTTTGCTGTCTTGGCATAAAACATTTCAGCTCTGTAAGCCAGTGTGGCAACAGAGATGTATGAAATGTAAAACATGTTAAAAGAAGACAATAATATTTGCCTGAGTGGGTTCATAGAATGTACAGCCACACGCTGCCTACATGACATGGTGCAAGAAGCATTCAACAACAAAATATATCTGGGTGTGTCAACACCAGCACAGCCTCTCATCGCAAGGATGGTGACACCTGTTGACGGCACCGCTGCCATGTTTTGCAGGATCAGTGGATGCAGACACGTACGTGTACACTGTGCTCTCACTTTGTGTGGTATTGCAAGCTTAGCCCATTCCCACGTGCTCCGTCGCATTATGGCGGCACTGTCACCATCCTGTACAAATGAATGCTAGTATTGAGGCACCCTAGATATATCTTTCCTAGGTTCTTCAGATCAAAGCAACTGTGGACTGCTTTGGGCCCATTGTATGGTGGTGCTACCTGGTGCCCAGGAATGTAAGCAGTCATTGCTCACGGTTGCCAGAGTAGTGGGACAACAATGTGCCACACGGTAGGCTACCGTGAGCATCTGCATGCTACTATCGTTGCTTATCTGAGCTCTTCTTCCATAATCATGAACACTGCACTCAGTTACAAGCTCGGTTTATGCACGGAACACGGGCAAAAACCTCATCATAAGGACACAGGCACTAAATGAGGATCTGAAAGTTGGGTGCAGTGTGCATGCACGGTTGCAGCAGACAGCCTGTCGAGTCCTTTGGAGGAGGCCAAAAGAAGGCGACGCTCCGAGAGAGGCCTTTTGCCGGGAGGTAGGTTTTCCACAGGAAATTTTCCACGCTGTTTTTTTCTCTTTCTCAGCCGGCCGTATTCGAGGCCCATCGTAGGTGTTTTTAGGCCCCCTAGCGTTCATCGTCAGCGTCTCCGTTGAATGCCGCCTGCACGACGTACCAGTAGGGTCGGTGCCGACTGAATGTGCCGATGCGTGGCCTGGTTGCGAATGGTGCATCGTCCTCAGGTGACGTCAGGAATGGCATGCTTGGAAGCAGTGCACGACCCGTTGTGTGCCGCGACACCGCTCCAAGACGCCTGTGTGGACCGGCATTGTCGACCTGTGCACGACCGTGTGGCATTGGAATAAATACTCGGATTCTCCGTTGTAGTCTTAATGCAACAGTCTACCACAAAAGATTCTTCAAAGCTCGTGACAACCACTACATGCGCTCATACAGACTACAGACATTGTTGGTTGATGCATCATGGTGATTATGGTGTTGTGTTGCTTCGAATGAGCTCACATGTTGGATTCCCAACTGCTGTGGCAGCATTTAGGATGGGGATGAAATTAAAAAATCCTCATGTCGCCAATTTACATGCCCATTGAAAAATGCTAGCATACTGAAAATTAATCTAGAATACCCCACAGAGTTGCAACTTGACATCTTGATTTCAGCAATGAAAACCCCATAAATTGATCTGTTAAGCTAGGTCACAGTTTAGCATTGTGACCTAGAATGGAAGCGGCAATTTACACTGAATTTTTTTCTGTGATCCCCGTGTTTCAGCTCACGACACACAGCCACCAACATTTTGACAGTATGCTCATTAATAGGCGTGCACAGGGTTGCCAATCAATAGTGGTTGGTTACCGCAGCGTTCCCTCCCTCTACAAGGTCAATATACAGGGCATATGTTGCCCCCTTTTGCGGCCGACTCATCCTGCCTCCTCCCCTCCGAGTGTACGTCAGTGAACGCGTGTCCTTGCACACTTCGAAACCACGTATGAGCGCCACCCCTTTCATCTAATATTGCGTTTAATCTGCTAATTGTCTCTGTCACACCAAAGACGCACTTGCCCAACACTACCAAGACTTGTGATCGAGCTGACTTGCCTAAATCCCATTCTTCCTTCCCACCTCTCTCTTGTACAGCCCACTAGGCATCGTGCTCCTCGCACGTCTTTCTCAAATCCCACAATATGCCATGTATGCAAGGAGCTCGATCGAATTATGTTGCTCCTGAACGAAATCGCGATCATTGCGGTGACTGCAAATTTTGTCAACAATTTCCTAGGACCGTCATAGCAAATAAAAATTTATACACACCTCGTTGTGTTCCCTGTCGACCTCGTGCGCCGTCTGTAGTCGTGACGATGCAACGACACGTGGAGGCGTTGTTGTCGACGGCTCAGGAGGCTGAATTAGAGGCGACGGTTGCTGTCGCTCGTGCTGCGCGCCACTCTCGGATGAACTCGAAGACGACGATGCAGAAGCTGAAGAAGAGGAACCTGAGGAGGCGACTAGATTAAAGGTGTCCAGACTGGAGCTATCCGAAGGCCTTGCGCAGTAGCTGGCAAGTGTCGAAAAGCTGCATGGCTTGCGGCAACATTCTTCCACTATGCCTCCACTTGAGTATTGCCTGTGAGAGAAAAGAAGAACAATGTTTAATGTATAAAAAGGAGGAGAGGTCCACTCGGAAAACGACTGCCTAGCCTGCTAATTTCAACAGGGTGAAAGAAAAAGGGAGACAGAATCAGAATGGCAGATTGGTTTACTACAATGCCATTTTACAAACTGCATGCTGCGCGAGTATACGTCTAATAAGCGTGAAAGTCGTAGTTGTCCCAAGTGTATAAACCGTAGTTCATGCACTTAACAAAAACATGCGAACCTGTCTCGCTTACAAAAAATAGTTTAAACTGAGTTCGGCCTGTTTTACATATTCTCAAGCACCCAACGTTCAGATTCTCCACTAAGCATGGGGATTGATTGTGTGTGAGCACGCGTTTTATAGCGTGCACGTGCGTGACGTCATGGACTCTGGTTACCGGTCCACCAATGGGCAATGGCGGTTAGCACGATTCAATGTGATGACTGACACCACTAGAAATTTTTCGGCCTCTGTGCAAGAATAACGAAAGAAACTGCATGTAGTTTACTGGTAACAATAATGCAACATCACGGACTTCTCACCCCACCATGCATGGTACTCTACCATTATGGTTTCCGTGACGTCAGTGGACGTCACCCAGAGTTTAGATCACACACATACCACTTCTGTGCGAATGATCATGACGCTAAACAAATGCAGCTCATAGAGTGAAGAGTTGTTCGTTTAGCAGAACGCACATATTCTTTTAAGAACTCGATTTTACTTGACTAAAGAAAAGAAGTAGAGGAGAACGTGAAAGCTTGTTTCCCTTTCCGTATAGTGCACTTGTCCTGAGGTAGTCAAAGATTATGCCATTAAATGCAGTTAAGGCAAACTGTGGCACAAAGTGGCCGCAAAAGCTACAAAGACGAAAAACTTTCAATACTGACTAGACTATGGTTTTGCGTTTCTCAAAAAGCTAACAGTGATTCATCAATGATCATTGTTAACAACTTTTTATTTACATGTTGGTAATCAATATTATTGCAATATCTCTTCCCGGCGTGAAACGCTACATTTCAGCTTGTGCGCTAGATCTAAACCTATTTACGCTTTTACCAAGTTGAAATCATATCACAATTTGGCAGCACTCACCCCTGAGAGCTGTGGTACCTCGCAGAGTTTGCGGCCGGCTCTGGCGCTATTGTGGTAGCGACCGCTTCGGCTGATGTGGCACCGTCGTCGTCACCACTTCTGCCCTGTGTGCCTCCATCCCTCCGCAGTGGCGAGGGCCTGTAGATGATGAAGGGCCTCCTCACCGTGCTCACTGCAATAAGAATACAAACAAATGGATGAGACTTCTGAAAAAAAAAGCACCACCCCGTAATATTTGAGATGGCAGTTTGTTGTGCTAGAGTTCCTGAATATAGCTCCTTTAAGAGCCAATACAGTAACTGTAGCTCACGGGGCTCGTCATATACAGTGACCGCACGTGCTGAGCCATATACAGTCTCCAGTAAATTAGAAGCGGTTTATGATCAGGAGTTCCTATATATATGAATAGGCCAGGCTGGAAGTCCTTCATATATGATTAAGAGTTACTTTGTATATGGCTCCCATCTCTAGCTAGTGGTGAGTGCTATATGGTGCTTCTATATAACTCCATGTAGGTCTAACAGGTACCATATATGGCTGGGATAGTGCAGGAGATAAGCATATATGGCTACCATAATGCAGGCATTAACCATATATGGCTTAAAGTTACTGTATATGGCTTATAAGGAGCCATATAACATGCGAGTTCGCAATATACTAGCCGAGATACGTGCAAGTTTTGGCCAATCTTATGATTAATCTTCAAATTTAACCTGGGCATGGTTCAAGCTGAAGTGTCTAGCTTGAACTTTTACGGACGGATGTGCTAAGCCGTTTGAACCAGTTGGCATATATTCAATTGGTTCAATGTAGTGACCACACCATTTGATCTACTTGGAATTCAACCAATTGGTCCGATAAGAAGACACCTAATCGGTTATACGCAACTGCATCATTTGACCCAATTGGTACAAATGGCCCATTGTCTACTAATTCACAAATTAAACCATTTTAAACCACGTTGAATTTTTTTGATTGGTTCCAATTGTTTCTTTTAACTGGGAGAGTTTCCAGGGCGCAGGCTTCTTCGCCGTCGTCGCCGCCACCGCTGTCTAGCTCGGACGATGACCAATCAATCACGCACTCACACGGGTTCATCGGCGTACGGCTGAAAGCCCGAGGGCCGTCTGCGCTAGACTACGCTGCAGTTCGAGAACGCCGGCCATCCTACGCTGTGTGTCTGTGAAATTATAGTATTGGTAGGGTGGTGATGGTGCCGAAATAAGACAGCGTGATGCTACGAACTATGGTCAACTAAAGCTAAAACACATCGCTGCGTCGCCATGTTTTGTCGACAATATAGGCTGTCTTAAAGTAACGTCAGCTGCACAGCTTACGGGAACGTGAGCTGGGAAACCGAAATTGGGCGTTTTTAGTTATTCGGTGAGCCCAGACGATCAAACGGGTCGAGGTATAGTATTGAATGAACGGCAAGAATTCTTGATACCACGTAGATGAAAATTCTCGGAATATGTTTCACGACCTCTTTAGGCAGTGTCCTTCCTTCGTACTTTTGTTACCTTATCTTACGTTTTGTGTCAATGCCCTTCCCTGTCGTTGAACATTTTCGTTTAAGTAGAAACATCTAAACCAATGCGCTTCGGTTTGAACTCGGCATCACCAAAACGGACGACTACCATTTCTTCCGAAGGTCACTGGGATCATTTCCTCCAGAATAAATAGCAGACTGGACTCTCGAAGACTTTTTTTCGTTGACCCACTTAGTACCCCCCGCTCATCAGGCGTACAAGGCTTCACTGAGGAAAGGCTTCGTTGAAGAGTATATTCGTTTCCGAGAACCCTCACTTCCTGGCTAGCCTTTTCTAGGAAAAATAAGCAAAAGCCGGCGTTTTGTACTTTCCGGTCAGCCAACAGTGCAGGACAGGCACATTTTCCCTCTTGTTTTGTTCAGTTGCTCAGAAATCGCGAATGCAAGGAGCGGATTTCGTTTAGTTCTTCATGAAGGAGACCAAGTTTATGCTTGACTGACTTGTCCGATAGCACACGTCACCGTAGCCTCTATGCATGTCGTTGCCTCTATGCATGTCGTTGCCCCGCCGCGGTGGTCTAGTGGCTAAGGTACTCGGCTGCTGACCCGCAGGTTGCGGGTTCGATTCCCGGCTGCGGCGGCTGCATTTCCGATGGAGGCGGAAATGTTGTAGGCCCGTGTACTCAGATTTGGGTGCACGGTAAAGAACCCCAGGTGGTCAAAATTTCCGGAGCCCTCCACTACGGCGTCTCTCATAATCAAATGGTGGTTTTGGGACGTTAAACCCCACAAATCAATCTATATGTCGTCTCTTCCTTTTTAAACTTATACGCAACGCCGAAAGCCTCGCCCTGTAGAAATAGGCCGTTGATGTTTCGCGGAATTCCCGTCGTTTGCATGCATATGAGAAGTGGCCTTGGACTGTTGCAAAGTTCTGCTTTGATCGAAAATGTTGATGGCAGTCCATATTTCGAGAAATAAAGAAAGAGAGAGAGAGAGAGGATAGTGTGATAAAGTGGACAACAAGTGTGAAATGTAGGGAGGTTATAACTAGGACTGAGTCCGTTTCCCTGCATCAGAGCAGTGGGAACTCAGGGTTGGGAGGCACGGAACCCATAAGCCCAGCATGCCTGATGATAAGCAAGCTACAATCGCTGATGAAGGCGCATTAAGTAGCATCCTGCACTGTAATGACACCGCGCCAATGCCGTGAGTACGAAGTCCCTTGAGGACAGGTTCAAAATAGAGACTAACCAATGTACTTCCAATAATTCGCAGGCCTGTTTACCCGACCTCTATTTCTCGCAGCTTCTGTAACACCATATAAAGGCATTGTTTTAGGTACTTTTCCACGGCTACCTTATTTCGGATACAACTTGGCCTCTGCGATTGAAGAAATAATCGCACTCATGTACTCAGCAATGTTCCCCCAAAGCGGGATCAGTGGTCGTTTGGCTCATATGATGCCAGCCTTTATACGCCCGGAGCATTTTATAACAAATTAAAAACATCGGGACCATACATAAGTTCGTTATATCCGGCATTCGTTGTAACTGCGGTGCAGAAAATGGACAATCTGGCTCTTTAGAAATTTTAGATTAAAAAAAGGAATTATTCCAGTCTTGAAACCAGCATAAACAAAATAATATTTACGCGCATCCGCGTGATGTTTCAAACTTCAGTTCATGTGGTGACGCAACCAGTCAAATGCGTTTTTTTTTCGCGAAAAATGGCCAAAATATCGCCAACTTTTTCAATCGATCAAAAAGAATGGGGTTGCTAATTGTTTGTTAATATTTAGTGTTTCATGAAACCTTTCAAGTTGCAAGATTCGCGTGAACGAGAGGGAGCGCCTCTCGCGTTTTAGGTTTCATTTAAAAACGTTACATATCTATCAAACGATCCATTATAAACGAGGTTTGCATTTAGCTCACTCTAACAGATAATTGGTCATATCAGTGCTCGGTATAGCGAGGTTCAACTACACATTCACCTGCCCACAGCAGCAACACCTGTCACAGCAACACCTGTCCAAAGAGAAGTTGTAACGATGCCTGCCAGTGTCACATTCTCGCCAGTGATGCCTCCACAGTCTGTGCAACACGCTTGCTCCTTCACAGTAACTGTAGTCACTTCCTTCTTCTTTGTCGTCCACATATGCCATCCGGATTTTTGCGGACGACGAAGGAAGTGCGCACTCGGCGTACAAAGTGATGCCGGGCTTGTATTTCGCACCCGTGGAAATTCGACCATGCAGTCGAGCAGAGAGAAGATGCCGAACGCACGTGTGCAACAGGATTGAAGAAGAGGGGCACAGAGATTGTGTCGATTGAAGAATAGCAAAAAATCTAGCCTGCTTTATCCATGGAAGTCGTAAAATCAGCGAAGCTGATGCCACTGTTGGTAAGGCTTTTCTAGTCCTTTTTCTTTTACTTTCTACAACTTCTTAAGCATTTTAAAGTTTTGCCAATCTTTCCAAAGAATTTACGTGTAGCCCCATCGCTCTTTATTAGACATCATGTCAAATAAAGGGGCCTGCAAAACGTTTTGAGCATGGTCGGAAAACGCCGCCAATTAGTAGTGGAGCCCCCCGAGAACACGTGAGCCAAATATTATCGCAGCACTAGGCCTGGAAGTCACAATTGATTATCAAAGTCCACTAAAAGTGGCTTTCTCTTCTCTCGACAAATGGTGGAAAACGCTCAAAAATCACTCGTAGAAAGTCATCTCTCAGCCATTGTCTTTTGAACATGGCGCGCTCGGTCGTCACAGAGATTGTCCACCCGTGCGCGCGCGATCACCCTGAAAAAGGCGACGCAATCAAAGAATAAAAAATGGGCTCAAGGTCACGAGGCGCGCGTGGCGTAGTTTCTTTGCCCCTGCCATCCCTCCTTGCGTAGCTTCCATCGCTTTCGTTGTGATGAGAGAAGAGAGAATGCAATTGCAGCTCCACTCGCACAATTGTAACTCCACCCGCACAGGACGGATTCTTAAAATTCTTGCGGCGTTGAATTCATGAGGCAATAAGCTCTTCCAGTGAATTCATTATATGGTTACTTGAAAAAAGTGTTTCAGGGCCCCTGTAAGGCTACATGGGGCGACGATATATGCCGATTCATAGGAGCGTTCCAGTGTGAACACGACGCCTTCCACTCGCCCACATACACGCCTAAAAATGGATGTTGCTGTATCACGACTGCGATGGACCGCAAGCAGTATTGTAAGCGTTGCATATGGGCATGACACGCCCGCTTTACGCCACCTAGCGGCGAAGGGTCCGAATGAGAGCTGTTAAAATCGTTGCTAGGTTCTCTTGATCTACAGCAATACGGCTAACTGTCCTACTGAAACAGTGACAATGATTTGAGCTAACTTGCACGAATTGACGATATTCAACGAGTATGAATTCACGAGTATGAGTTCAATGATACTTTATAGGATGTTCGTGCTCGCGTTTGAATATCTGCCTGTTCGTATGCGCAAGCTAAGTTGAAAAAATTAATAATCGGGGAACGGCAATGCTTAGGGCTGATCTTAGGTAGCACACACAAGCCCTACCATGTGTGCCACTTCTAGCGCTCGTGTGTGTCGCATTCTCTTGTATGTTGTCCCTGAAGCATGCTCTATATAGCAGTGCAGTTTAGTACCAACTAGCCAAACTAGAACCTTGCTTATGTAGCAGC